AATTTGAATCATCACAATATTTTTACTTCAAGTAAATTTATAAAATGACTCCGTCTGCAGTTCATTGGATGGATTTAGTAGCTGATTGGAATGTTGAAAGAATGAGGGTTGAAAAAAGGGGCTAGCAACTGTTATCGTAAAAAATGCAGCAATCACACCCCTATCTAGGCAATCTCCCAACAACATGTAAATGCCGAAGTACGTGTTATTGTTTGAATAGAGCAGGAGTGTCAGTTGAATCAATAAGTATACATTCTGATTTATTGGCTTCGGAGTTTAATATTTTAATCAATTTTGGGCCTACTTGTATTAGCCATCAGAATTTCATCATCATGAATTCATATCCATTTAGTTTCTCTGTATACTTTTATTGTAGTTAAGACATTTCTGTAACATGTTCTCTATAAGTTCTGTACCATTATAGCTTATCATAAGTCAAAGCCTTCTTTAAAACAATCCTCCATTACCCTTTCTAGTAATAATTCTCCATATTTTTGCTCCCACAGAGTTTATGTCATCCTCCAAGTTGTCCAGATACCATTTGGTTATAGTCCTTCCTCTGAATTTTTGTACCGAAAACTGGGACGAGTATGTCGTTTTTTTTTAATTCAATTTTTTTATCCCATTTGAATTATCTTTAACCAATGATTAAAGCCATTAATTACCGAAAAAAGCTTCAATTAAGGAAACTGTAGACCTGTCAATAATATCGATGTCATTTGCATGTCAAACCATTTCTACAGATTCATTAAAGATTCTGACATTCCTATTATATACCTATTATATGACTCTGGAATACTTGTTACGGTGCATAATTAAATAGAAGATACGCCTTTCTGCTTGTCTTAGTCTAGTTTTCATAGTAGACTTGAAATGTTTTGAATTCTCACTGCTATCTAGGTCCGTTAGTTGAATTTGCGTAAACAGTTAGAGCATTTTAAAATTCCGATTCGTATAAAGTTTTAATTCACGTATTTCCAATTCCATTTAATTCAGAAAGCAGTAACTTTTATGCGATCCTGTCGCACCCTCAGTGCAAGACTGCAGTAACTCAAAATTTTATGAAAATGAAGTAATCACGGAATTCGTTTGTAAACATGCATATCTATCCCCTGTAAAACTTTAGTAACTTTCAACTGCTTAACCGGCTAAATATTACAACAACAACAGTTTATCTATTTTGCGTTTTTGTACATAAGTTCCGTGCAAAACTGTTGTAATTCTAATGTAACAGAGTTATAACAGTTTTGTACGGAACATTGCAATGGTTTCGATAACAAGCAATAAAAGGCACGAAAAAATATGATAATGATATTTGTTATTTTAATATCTATATCTGTGGTGTTGAATTTTAATATACAGCGTGTTTACGTAATCCATTAACGGCTGAGACAATAAACAAAGATTTACGAGACCAATCTATTCATGTACGTTTTATGTCCTTTGTGTGACATTCTATTTTCCATAAAATGTGTGCGATGTTGTTTGACCATTTATTTATTAGACTGAATTAAAAACACATGAATTAAGACTAATTATTTACAGCCAAAAATTATTTTTTCTTATGAAACGAAAAACAGTTATCTTAAAACGTGTGTATTAACAATACTGACAGGTTAAAAATATCTATTCTTAGAAAACTTGTTCTATAAAAACTAAATCCCAAATTGTATTAAATCTTCATGTAACCTTCCGGTCTTATCATATTGTCCCCCCGTAATTCCCAACTTTTACTAAAGTAGTGAATTTCAATTCTTTTGTTAATCACTGTACTCATGGTGATTTGCATATTTTTATTTATAGTTCTTTTGTTTGGAATTTTATGGAATTCTTTTAATCTAAAAAATCATCACGGACTGCACATAATATACAAGAAGTGCTACTTAAACCTGCCTACAAAGAACAGCCAAAAATTCAAATAGACAAAAAGAAAGATTTGGTATACTTATGCCATTTCTAATTACTATAACTTTATAATTTTTCTTAAAACTTGTATCCTATTTCACCGATATTAGCACGAAAGTAAACAAAATCGTCTTTATCTCGAAAATTACTTATTCTGACTTACTGCAGTCTGGCACTGGGGATGCGCTGTCATATCGCATAAATCATACTTTAATAAAATTTTCAAACAGAAACATTTCAGTATCTCTTGAAATAGAATAAACATTCAATGTTTATTTTAATCAGCCCAATTGCATATATCGGAGTTTTCCATTAAGACTGGCCTGAGAATCGAAGAAATAAAGCGCGGATCTCAATGAAACTTTTTGAATTCGATTCGTATGGGTGTCAAGAAATTTTGTGAACAAAAATAATGATGTGTAGAAAAAAATTGCATTATTGAACAACGAAAAAAAAGTGCATTCGGGTCACTTTGTGGAAATTCGATACAAAATCAGTGCAAACTCCCTACAGCGACTCAAACATAGGGGTCGCTGAACACCATGCGTAATGCTTTTGTATGTAAAACAGTTTTTGAAATTCCACCATACCATGGAACAGTTTTTGTCTGTTACAATATCGTAACTAATTCCACTATTTTTAATGCATTTATTACGATACATCAAATGTTTTTCGACATCAAAGAATGGTATAAAGGGTGTATGATAATCATTAGCTACTTTTAAAATCAACTTCAATTTTAAATTAAAGGTACGCTTTATAAAAAAACTATTTTAATCATTATATAGAAATCTTGTTCGAAGTTATTGAGAATTAACAAATAAAAATCTTCAGCCAACTAGTACCACGATCAATAGAAACCAATTTCACAAAAAAAATATATTGAATTTATAAAAAGCTTACCTTAATTCTGTTATGATAGGCTACATAACCCAATACGAATACTACGCATATTACCATGAAATATGAAAAGAAGGGTGATTCACCGTCGACTACATCCAGGTTGTCGTCACTGACAGGACTAATTTCCTGTACGGTAGTATCAGGTTTCCTATCAACCGCCTTGGGCTCTACAACAAATACCACTTTAAAAGTTGATCATATAAAAATATATAACAAAAATATGGTTCTGAAACTGTTTTCATATGGCATTTATACGTTATTTACTGTACTCAATGGAAATAAACAACAATTTTAATTAAAAAGACATTATAATTGACGTTTCTACTTCCGCATCAGGAAATCGATTTGTTTTTTTTATTGGAACCTGTCAAAATATGATGTCATCGACATATTTCTTAGATAACAATATATTGTATGTGATAGTTCATTTGAAAACACCTCTGTCTGACTTTTGTGCGATTATCTCGCGCAGTTTCAAAATTCAGACCACTGAAATGAGAAAATGATCTTAAACTGACCCCAGTGAGAGAATAACTCTTTCTTATTTGTAGTAGTATACTGGATGAAAAGTTGTTTCCTCTTGTTGTTGTTATCTTATTGTTTGAAGCAATGCTTCATGGCCCGGGAGTATGTTGGAAAACGAACTATATTTTGTCTACTTTCCATTTACGCCAAAGTTTCACAATTATTGCTTCACTCTGTATAATTATTATTTATACCATTGGGCAGCATTTTTTGTAGTCTTTTTAATGATATAATCTCACAAGTAGTGGTTTGCAATTTAAACTTTTTGGTTTTGGTGGGTGGGGCCTAGGTGGTTTATGGGGGTGAGTTCTCTTTCATATAATTTTAGTTTCCCCTTACTATCCTAGAAACGGTTTCAAGCAGTTTTCGATATCAGCTTTTGCTCGTGAGATACAGCCCACTGTAAGTTTTAAAATTGTCACACTGTATATTGTGGAGTGGAAATAAACAGGTGAAGCAAAGTGTTGTGTATAATTTCAACCCTATAAGAGACACACAAAAAGAATCAGCTACTACACCAAATCCTGTAATACAAATTCGACAGGTCGTCACAAGGTTTTGACGCTCTACAGAAAATTTGTAAAAATACTACTACTACTAAGGATTTCCACAGTTTTCACTGTCTTCCTTCACTCAACCGTTTTCTCCAATTTTCCCTGTCATTCCAGTCTCCATCTCGCAGGGTTCTTTTCTCATAGCCTCGTCGATTTCGTCTCTGAATGACCTTCGGGGTCTTCCTCTCTTCTTCTTCGATCGGGCTCCATTCTGTAATTTTGTTTATCCAGCGTCCTCTGTCCGCTCTTCTGACGTGGCCGTACCAGGATAGTCTCTTCTCTCTATATAGTCGATTATGTCTGATTGCACTCCCATTCTCCGCTTAATCTCTGCGTTTTCAATTCTGTCTCTTTTTGTAAGTCTACAGCTTCTCCTCAGGAACTCCATTTCTACTGCTCTTATTCTACCTCTATTTCTCTTGTTTATTGTCCAGTTTTCGGACCCATATGTCAGGATACTTCTTGTCAGGGTATTATATATTCTCTTTTTTGTCTTTATCGTAATGTTCTTATCCCACAGCAGTGAATTTAGTTGTCTTATACAGTTTCTTGTTTGTCTTAGTCTGTTGTTTATATCTTCTTCTGTTGTTCCCTGGTTCGATATTATGGTTCCTAAATACTTGAATTTATCTGTTCCATTTACTTGTCTTCCCTCGTCTATCTCTAGGTTTCTCATATCCTTGTTTTCTGTTGTTAGGTATTCGGTTTTCTCTAAGTTTATTTCCATTCCGTTGTTTTTATATTCTTCTTCTAGTTTTCTGAGCATAAAGCTGAGATCTTCTTCATCTTGTGCGATGACTACTTGATCGTCGGCAAAACTTAAGGTGTATAGGTTTTCGTCTCTTACTGGTATGCCCATTCCTTCGCACTTTCTCCTTCATGGTTTGAGTGTCTTTTCCAAGAATATTTTTTTTTTGTAAAAATAACGTACTTATTTTCCTTTTGTTGTCTTGATATAGGAGTATACAATTAAAACACCAACTAACGTGTAACACCGACCCTCTAAATTTACTTGTATCCTTTTTCTATGGAATGATAATGGAACGCTTTTTTTAGAAAAGCAAATTTCTTTACAACACGTAAAAACTCATTTAAAACATTTGATAGTTTCAGTTAGATAAATGCTAGCACAATAATGTTGAACTTACCTGCCTTAACAGTTTCTGGTTTGACGGGACCAGGAGGACCTGAAATCAAATTTATTGTTCATAACACAATTTAATACACTTAAATGTATCAACTATTAATGTTATATATTTTAAATCTAATATTTTCTTTAAAAACTTTTTGGATGTTTAATATTAACTATTAAAACTAATCCAAAAAATAATAGAATACAACAGAATACCACAAAAATGGAGATCAAGCATCCTAATAACTTTCTTCAAAAAGGCACACAAATCAGACCCGGGGAATTACAAAGGAATTAATTTATTAACTACAACTCTAAAATCAACAACTAAAGTGATAACAAATAAACTGAATGAAATTATATCACTAGCAGAAGAATCACAAGGTGTTAGGTCGGGAAGATCATGTACCAACGCTATATTTATAATGAGACAAGTACAAGAGAAATTATTAGACTACAACAAACCACCATACCTATGTTTCATGGACCTTAAGAAGGCATTTGACATTTTACAAAAGTAAAAGTAGAAGAACTAACTGATACAATTGAAGCTAGCAATGGGATAAAACAAGGAGATTCCATGAGCCCTCTATTGTTTAACCTGATTATTGATAAAATAATAAAAAAAGTAAGAACTAAAAAATAATATTAAATGGGAAAAAACAACTTAAAATAATCTGATATGCAGACGATACAATACTGCTTGGTTATGCTGTTCAAAAGTTCTTAGTGTCCTTCTTTAGGCAGCTGTTAATAAAGAGGGCATAATAATTTTCAACTTCCGATAGGGGCACGAACTTTAAGAAGAGTGGCTAATCACAACAAAAACTATAATTGATATACACTTAAAATAGTACAAACCATCAGCATATTCATTATCATCACCGCCATGTATTCCCTCATCCTCATCATCCTCATTCATCATAGTATCATCTGCATTTGGTTGAGCAATATTGACATCGACTGGGACTGGAGCTGGGGCTTGGACTGGCTCAGACACTTTAAGTGTTGTAGATGTAAGGGTTTTAGGTGAAGGAGGTTCTGGCTTCTTTTTATCTTCTAGTTTCGGATCTTCCGGATCCTTCGGATGTTCGGAAGCAATGACATTTGCAGCAACAACTTTCTTAGACTCGACATTTTGCTCATTTTTTGGAAGAGGTACTTCAGCTTGTTGGTCTAAAAAGATTCAATAAATAAAATCGCATTTTTAAATATTATGAAATTTTCGAACATTTGAAAGTTTGAGAAAGCATGTATATATTTATATCATTGTCCACAAACAATATCAAAACAAATTACAACAATGAGTTATATAAATCAGTTGTTTTCGTTGACAAAATAAGATCATACAATATTTAAGGGGGGTATTTGGAGAAGCTAGTGGTTTGGCTTTATTAATTTTTGTCCTACATTTCCCAAACTGACGGCAGTTTTTAAGCAATCTTCTTACAATATCACCAGTTGCATTTGGTCGATTTGGCTATCTGTCTGCGAAAACACGCTAAGTCCGTTAAATAGCTCTATTACATTCGCCGTAAATATTAATAATAATAATATCTGAGATACGTACGCCTGTTCCGCGCTGAGCTACTCATTTGGTATTATAAAGTGGTTAAAAACAGATATAGAGGGTCTCCAGCGGAAAGTAAGAACACTTCTCACAAAGGCGCAAAAACATCATCCACGCAGTGCAGTAGAGAGAAAAACATTACCACGGTATCAAGAGGGAAGAGGACTTATCGACATAGGTGAGCAACTGGATAAACAGGTTACTAATTTAAGAACTTATTTTCAGTTACAGGCTGAGACATCTACTTTACATCGAGCAATTTGCGCAGTAGATGATACAATGCCGCTTAAACTGAGGGAACCAGAAATGCGCATCAACCATCTGTCTAAGCAAAAAAAAATGCGCACCTGGATGGGTAAACCTCTGCATGGGCGACATGTCAATGAGATCAGCCAAGAATATGTCGACAATACAGCGTCGAACTATTGGTTGGTATCAGGAAAGATGTTTCCCGAGAATGAGGGTTTCCTACTAGCCATTCAGGATCAGGTTATTCCAACTAAAAATTACCTGAAATATATTGTTAAAGATCCTCAAGTCCAAAACGACAAATGCCGATATGGATGCCAAGCCCAAGAAACTATCCAACATCTTACGGGTGGCTGCCAGGCGTTTGTCGGTACTGATTATAAAGAACGACATGACTCAGTAGGCAAGATTATTCACCAAGAACTAGCTCACTAACTGGGACTTTTCCAAACCGACCATCTTCCTTATTATCAATACGTCCCTGAAAAAATGCTTGAAAATGACAACTACAAGCTATATTGGGACCGCACTGTGTTTACAGACCAACCAGTGGCACATAATAGACCCGATCTCATAATTGTTAATAAAATTACTAGGCAAACAACACTTATTGATGTGGCGAAAACCAACACCAATAATTTACGTGTTAAATACAACGAAAACATCGCCAAGTACAGAGATCTAGAAATACAAATCAGGCGACAATGGAGAATGGAAAGTACCCAGACACTACCTATTGTTCTATCTACTACTGGTGTTATTCCCAAAAACTCCTAGGAACATAAACAGCTGGGTCTAAATGAACATCTTTAAAAAGTCATGCAGACAGCTGTACTCCTCGTGACGTCCAGATGTGAACGAAAATTTTTGGGAGATACTCCAACATACCAATATATATATACTTCAATCCTTTTGATATCGTAGGTATCTGGGATGAGTGAATTTTCCCCTTAGAGGGAGTGGCTAAATCTGGAATAATATACACGACACACATCCTGGTGAATGGCCATTAATGAAGAAAAGAAGAAATTATACTAATCATTAGAATTTATAGTGTTTATATTTATACTTACTGCCAATTCCTACTTACCTACATTTCCGGCGGGTAATCCTACTTGTAAAACGGGTTGGTTGGGTTGGTCTGAAAATCAAAAAGAAATATATTAAACTTTGATCAAATAAAAGGCAGATATCGAGCACAGATTTATTAATTCAATCTTGCCCAAGTACTTTCGTTTCCTTCAGGGGCATTTCGTCACTTTTGGCCTATACAACAAAAATAGAATGTTATACCTAAACATAAAATTGTACATCACACTACACTACACAAGGACAAACACTTTTAATTTTTTTTTATAAATAGGCGAAGCTACATCACGTTCGGAGAGAGATTCTCTCTTCGGTTTCCGAACATACCGATATCTGGTAAACTTTGACCTATACCAAGAAAGAAATTCACGTTCAAATGAAAAATATGATAAACTTTTTGGCAAGTGTTCATCCCCTTTGGTGCGAATGCTTGAAGAGATAAATCAGTCAGATTTACACTACAACTTACAGAAATACAAATCAGGCGACAATGGAGAATGGAAAGTACCCAGACACTACCTATTGTTCTATCTACTACTGGTGTTATTCGCAAAAACCTCCTAGAGAACATAAAACAGCTGGGTCTAAATGAATATCTCTATAAGGCCATGCAGAAGCTGTACTCCTCGCGACGTCCAGATGTGTACGAAAATTTTTGGGAGATACTCAACATACCAATATATATATACTTCAATCCTTTTGATATCGTAGGTATCTGGGATGAGTGAATTTTCCCTTTAGAGGGAGTGGCTAAATCTGGAATAATATACACGACACACATCCTGGTGAATGGCCATTAATGAAGAAAAGAAGAAATTATACTCTTCATTAGAATTTATAGTGTTTATATTTATACTTACTGCCAATTCCTACTTACCTACATTTCCGGCGGGTAATCCTACTTGTAAAACGGGTTGGTTGGGTTGGTCTGAAAATCAAAAAGAAATATATTAAACTTTGATCAAATAAAAGGCAGATATCGAGCACAGATTTATTAATTAAATCTTGCCCAAGTACTTTCGTTTCCTTCAGGGGCATTTCGTCAATTTTGGCCTATACAACAAAAATAGAATGTTATACCTAAACATAAAATTGTACATCACACTACACTACACAAGGACAAACACTTTTAATTTTTTTTATATAAATAGGCGAAGCTACATCACGTTCGGAGAGAGATTCTCTCTTCGGTTTCCGAACATACCGATATCTGGTAAACTTTGACCTATACCAAGAAAGAAATTCACGTTCAAATGAAAAATATGATAAACTTTTTGGCAAGTGTTCATCCCCTTTGGTGCGAATGCTTGAAGAGATAAATCAGTCAGATTTACACTACAACTTACACGTTGACAACCTATTCTCAGGACTTAATTTATTTAGTTACCTACGATTTTTGGGGTACGGCACAATTGGACAATGGGAAAAAACAGAATTCCACCTAGCTGTCAATGGAAAAAAAGTAGTTTTCTAAAAGAAATCTTGGCTATTCACAACATGCAATAAAAAAAACTGCGGTGTATTACTGGTGCGAATGGAAAGATAATCCTGTTGTTATAATGGCATCTACGAGTTGAGGTGGTTCAGCATTGGGCACGGGAAAGAGATTTTCTCATGAAGAAAAACGCCACATTCAATTAGTTGGCCTCACTGTATTACTGAATGCAACAAAAATATGGGGGTACCGACTTAACGGATCAAGGTGTTTCAACCTAACCAGTAGCAATTCGCAGTAAAAAATGGTACTGGCCAATTGTAAGTTGTTGTTGGATGTTGCAGTCCATAATTCATGGCATTTATATAAAAAAAATTAAACAAGATATATCCTTGCTATCGTTTAGAGGAGAATTGGCCTAAGTTCTCGCAAGATGTGGAAGTCCTCCCTTATATACAGAAAGACCTAGTCTACGTAGACAGAACTTGCCAGATCTTCGTTTTGATCGCATCGCCATTGATACACCAAAGTAAAGCGATGTGCTGGTGACGGATGTACAACATCTGGACGAACAATGTGCCAAAAATGCAACGTTGGTTTGTGTGTTAAATGATTTATAGGATACCACACTAGGTGATGAAAATATTCTCAAATAAATATTAAAAAAAAAACATTAAAAATCTTGATTTCAACGATCCTAAAAATTTCCTTAAGCGCCCAGCGTTACCATATGGTCACACCGTATATATATTTTTTTTAAAAGACATGAAACCGAAAAACTTGGTTTTTGGATTAAATTATTAACATTTTCATCTAATTAACCCATCTAATTAAGTAAAGATTTTCAAAAAAAAAACTTCGGCGCTAATGGGTTAAGAGCAATATTACTGATAATTATGTATAAACCAAATTTTTAAACAAAAAAAAATAATTTGGGCCGTAATGGGTAAATAAAACCAAAAAAATATTTTGGACAACAGAATTTTTACCTGGTTCATGTAAATCCTTGGGTGGTTGTTCGGGCAGTGCTTCCTTTGGTTGGTTAACAATCTCAGCAGGAGGGTTATTGGGAACGGGCACTGGAATAACTGTCTTCTCAGTTACATTGGTAGTTTGAAGATAATAATAGTGGGCAAATAGACACGCTGGCTGCAGCTCTTCGTTGAACAACGTTGTGCACGTCCTCAAGCAAGAATGTTCTTTAAATGTTGGTAATATACTTTGAGATGAGTTTACGACGCTTTTACAAACGGAATTCAGAGTGTAGTTTTTTAGTTTTATCTCGCTTACCGTTGGATACCTTATGGTGTTATTGGATCGACAGTAACTAATGAGAGAATGATTATATAAAGTACACAAAATTCCAGTCTCATTGCGAGACTCAATAATTTGAGTTGGACTCAATTTAAAAAAATCTTTGCATGTGTCTAATATTTCCGTTTGATTGAGCTTAAGTGCTGTAAAATTAGCACATTCCTCAATTTTGCCTGTAAAGGTATTATTTAAGTCTGTTGGTGCACTTAGACATTGACTAATACCTAAAACTACACAAGTTATAAACAAAAAATCCATTATCTGAAAAAAAAGAGAGTTATAAGAATATATAAAAAAATAATAAAAACAGTAAAGTATTATTCACAAATCATTTGTTATATATGAAATGGCATAGACGTTAAGAGGCTACATCAGCGCGTCATCAAGACGGAAAACGCGTTCCAAGACTGCAGTTTTAATTTTAAATATTTTGACGAGATATTTGGCACACATATAAGTGATATAGTGAAGAATGGCGGTACGAAGTCCAATTTGAGAAATATGTTAGTAAGTGGAAATTACTCAACTAAATAAAATATTACAAAAACGAGTTTTTACCGCCATTACGAAACACAAAAAAATACACTTTCTTCAAATAAACTTTTTTATCCCAAGCCTAGATTTTGTGTCACATTGGAATTACTAAAATCAACCAAAATCAATTAACTATAACAAGAAATCGAACTTAACTGAGTGAGTTGGCAACATAGAGAAATAGTCACCGCTATCACATTTGCACTTCTACGTCTGTTTTCTGTGTAAGTGATAGCACGATTCTGCTCTGTTATAATTTAAAGCTCGGATTATAGGCAAAATGCCTTTTTTTTTGCCTATTTTGCCTATTATAAGTGTTTTTTGCACTTTTTGCCTTTTTTCGTAAATTCCGCCTATTTGTGCCTTTTTTAAAATTTCATGGTACTACCCATGATATTATTCTATTACTAAACCATTCTATAATAAAATTTTGGGTCAATAATAAAATATCAATGGTTTGTTTATATAATAGATTTCTAGGAAAATGTACCTGATCGAGACTTGAGGGTTAACTATTTGGAAATCCCTAAGCTTTATTAGTTTATTATCAGTTGTACAGTCGGTTACTGTATCAGAGTTTACTCACAAATTAGCAAATTGCTATATCCTAGTTTAGTTTTGTTGCGTATACCGAAAAGCAAAGAACACGTTTTAAAACGTTCAAGACAGTTGTGTGAAAAGATGACATCTAAATTAAGGCTATGGATCGCACCTTATTCGGAACTTTCTCTAGAAGGAGATGGAGCATTTTGTAAACCATGCGGCAAATCGGTAAGTTTTATTTTTTTTTTCTTTTTTTCTCGTCCCACAACATAACTAAATTCTAAAGCGGTTTTAGAATTCTAATTATTTTTTTTTAATTCTCAGATTTCAAGTAGAAAAAAGTACTTTATTGACCAGCATTGTGGAACCCCACTTCATAAACGTAATTTGGAAAAATTAAATTCCTCTAAGTTAGCCCAAACATCTCTGCGGGATAGTTTAAGCAGTTCAAAAAAAAAGGAGGAAGACGCATTTAAATTTGATTTATGCCAGATGATGATTGCATCCAACATTCCTCTATATAAAGTTAATAACCCTAGTTTTAAACGCTTTTTTGAAAAATATCTTAATAAATCCTTACCGGACGAGAGTACATTGAGAAAACATACTGTGGAAAAATGTTATGTGGAATGTATTTCAAAAATTAAGCACGAGTTGGAGGGCAATTTTTTGTATATTATCGTGGATGAAACGACAGATGTATGCGGCAGGTATATAGCTAATTTAATGATTGGAATTTTGAACGAAAACTTTGCGAGAAAACCTTATTTAGTTGCCGTTAAAGAATTGGAAAAAACAAACAATTTAACAATAAGTCGATTTATACAAGATAGTTTAACAAACCTCTTTTTACCCAACGCTATACCAGTGAATAAAATAGTTTTAATGCTTTCAGATGCTGCGGCATATATGTTAAAAGCTGCTGTTAATTTAAAAATTTTTTATCCTAATTTAATTCATTGCACTTGTGTAGCCCACGGGGTAAATAGAATTGCTGAAGAAATAAGAAATCTGTTTCCGTTGGTAAATAATTTTATAAATTTTATGAAAAAAGTTTTTGTAAAGGCTCCGTTGAGGGTGCAAATATATAAAGAAAGACTTCCCGGTGTCCCTTTGCCACCTAAACCAGTAATTACAAGGTGGGGAACCTGGCTCGAAGCAGTCTTTTTTTACTTTGAACACTGCAATGAAATAGAATTAGTTATGTCAGAATTTGATGATGATATTTCCGAAGCCATTCGAGAAGCAAAAAAAATATTAAAAAATCCCAAATTGAAACAGGAACTCGGTTATATCAATGACAATTATAAATTAATAGTTACCACAATTACCTTATTAGAAAAACAAGAGATAAATTTATGTGAGTCAGTAAAATTAATAGATAATTTAAAGACGAAAATTAAATCGGCACCTGGAAGTAACGGTCAATTAATTTTTAAAAAAATGAAATATGTTTTCGACAAGAATGAAGGTTTTTCGTTTTTATCTAATGTTGCTAAAGTTTTGAATGGGACATTTTCCGAGGAATTTCAAATTATGCCAGATTTATTATCCGCTCTGAAATATGCTCCAATTACATCTGTCGATGTCGAACGTTCGTTTTCAATGTACAAATTAATTTTAAGTGATCGAAGACATAGTTTTAAGACCGAAAATATTGAAAAACATTTAGTTGTTTCTATTAATGATAAAATTTTAAGTGGTTACAATGTTTAATTATTAATTAACAGTTATTTAGTTACTAGTTTATTTATACTAATGTTATGATTATGATGTGTAAATATACTTGCCTTAAGTTAATATTACGTTAATTTACTTTGTACAATAAATAATAAGTTATATTCCTTTATTGCCTATATTTTGCCTAAATGTTAATATTCCTGCCTTTTTTAATAAAAATCTTTGCCTATATAGGCGCCTTTTTCTTCAATTTTTGTTGCCTATAAATCCGAGCTTTAGTTATAATAGTGTATTATTTTCAAGATATTGAAATTCGAGTTTTGATTCATAGTGAAGTAGTGTTTGTTTAAAATTAATTTATTATATTTGGCTAATAGAACTGAGTTGTCGGACTATTTGAAAAAAAATAGATTATTATTAATTGTGGGTTTTTAAAAGTCTATTTTACGTAAAAATATGTCAAATTCTAATGCGAGTATATAGTCTTAGGAGGATTTTTTATTCTAGAAATATAAGTATTTTTGAAAATGGGAAAAATTTCACAAGCGAAAATTAAAGTCACGCCTTCCAAGAAAAGGTCCAGTAAAAACCGTGCTAAAACGATTTGAAAATCGAAATTAGAACCACCACAAATTTTAATAATGTAAGTGTAAGTATAAGCAATCTACTGTTGTCATAAATAAAAGGTGTGAAAAGTTGTTTCCCATGAAAATGAAATTGGTAATAAATCTGTATTTAGGTACAGAAATCCTCACTAAAGTACAAATGCCAATTTTTTCAGGTAGATAGATATTCATTGGCGACAATATTTCCGAACTTATATTTTTTATTTGCTATACGTCAGAATTGATGCTATGAATCAATCTGTAGTTCATTTCTTACGGCTAAACTGTTTGATATATACGTTAAAACTGGTAAGTAGAGCTCGGATCGAGCGAGCAATTTTCAGGGTAGTATTTCCTTTATAGGTACTTCATTTGTTTAGATGTATACATTATTGCATCAACACAGAATTAGATCCAGACCAAGAGATCCGGGTACGAATAGAAATGGCAAGGGCAGCGTTCTTAAAATTCAAACAATTGTTCTGTGACAAAAATCTGAATATTGCGCTGAGACTGAGGTTTGTTAAATGTTACGTCTGGTCGCAACTATTGTACGGGGTAGAAACATGGACACTAAAAGCGCAAATAGCTAAAAAGATTGAAGCCTTTGAACTTTGGATATACCGGAGAATGTTGAGAATCCCATGGACTGCCAGGGTCACACAATGAGGAAGTGATGAGAAGAATGGGTCGAGTCAAAAAATTGTTGAGAACGATAAAAGTACGCAAGACTGCATACCTTGGACACATACTAAGAAATAATAAATATAGTCTTCTGCAGGTCATCATGCAGGGTAGAGTCGATGGCAAAAAGGGAATAGGTAGAAAGAGGAAGTCATGGCTGCGAAATATTCGAGACTGGACAAACATGACTGTATACGAATTATTCCACGTTGCAAAAGACAGAGAAGCTTTTAAAAATGTGGTCGCCAACCTCTGTTAATGGGGACGGCATAGGAAGAAGAAGAATACATTATTAATTTGGGTGATATATTGCGACTGCTTGTGCATTCACTAAGCAAAAACCAAAGTACACATAAACAGTACATTAAGTAATTAGTAAATGTGATTACAATATTAACTTGATTTGGGTACCGTCCAGCGGCAGTTCTCCATTTTCACCTATGTAACCATGTCGTCTTTTTGTAGGATAAATACGGGGGGAAGCCCTTAAAAACCACGAAAATGGCTCTCTTGATGTAATTTTGTCTTGAAAAAGACACGTTAAGGTAAAATAAATCACTACTAGGGTTAAAATGAAACAACAGGTACAGTAGAACGAAACTCAGCCACAGAGTCTGGGAAAACAGTACGCCGAGCTCCTAAAGCGCTATGCTCTAGGGAAGCCCGAGAATGACTGACCTGGCTGGCTTGAAAATCACCGATATTTATAAGTATTTTTATATTTGTATGGTATTTTCAGGATAATAAGCCAATAAGAAAATTAGGGGGGATGCACATCGGAGTGCGTACTAGTTCTCAGACTATGGCACTCGATGACATACAACCGCTCTGGAGACTCTGAAGCTGGGAAAAGGAAATATTTATTAAAAAGTAAAAGTACACAAATAAAAATATCAATACACAAGAAAATATGTGAACAAAAGTACTTACATATTATAAACATATAAAATAAGTAAATGTTCTTAATTGTCGCACAAAAAAACATTACACAGGTAGAGGTCGGTGGTGGTGACAGCATCTGCAGGTCCATCCTCAGTCGATGTACTCACTCCTTCGGCGGTTCGTCTTCTTCTAGGCCGTCCGGATCCCATCTGTCATATCAAACGGGGTTTCGTAGGCCGGTGTACCTCAGTATACATGGTTACAACCACATATCTGTAGGGAGGCAGTGACTGGACCTACTCCGTGATTTCCATTGGCAGCTGGGGCTTCTAACTTCGAAGAAGCCGGCTCGTCGAAGGTGTCTGCACACTGAAGGCATCAGGTCTGCAGGCCACGATGTCGGCATGTTAGCTTGGATGCGCTAACATCTATGGTTCCCCGCTGTCTTTCTGAATCCAGCACACGGTAGATTCATCTGTGTGCCTTCTGCGCAGGTGTGCGTGGGCTCGAAGCTAGCTGGGCGCC